TTTGTCCATCCATTCATCAGTGGATGGAGATTTGTGTTGTTTATACTTTTTTACTAGTAGACCACTGTTGTGCCACTCGTGTATGCTTTTGTGTGGATGTGTGTTTTCATGTCTCTTGGGTATATCTCTAGTAGTGCAACAGGTGAGCTTATATGTAACTTTTTGTTACACTCTATATGTAACTCTTTGACTTGTGTTCCAACGTGGCTGTACCATTTTGCATTCCTCATCCTCATCAACATTTGTTACTGTCTAAATTTTTTTATCCCAGCCACCCCAGTAGGATAGTAATGATGGTGACGGTGGTGCAGAACCAACTCGATGGCACCTAACAACAACAACTTCAGAAGGGGTACAGTGGTATCTGTGGTTTTGTTGGCGGTTTCTTATAAAGTCAATTAGTTCAACAGTCTCATGGATATAAAATCCCGTGTAAAATCTTGCCAAGTTGGGCATTTCATATTAAACTCCAGGTCAGTGCTTCGATCCCACCAGCCACTCTGAGGGAGACAGATGAAGCTATCTGCTTCCAAAAATATTTACTCTCAAAAACCCTAGGGTCCAAAAAAAAAAAAAAATCCCTAGGGTCACTATGAGTCGTAACCGACTCAGTGGTAATAGGTTTGGTTTTTTGGTAGACACACTTTTAGGTGCACTGGTGACACCATAGATTAAGCATCGGGCTGCTAATCACAAGGTTGGAAGTTCAAACCCACCAGTCACTTGACAGGACAAAGACGAGATTGTCTGCTCCGGTGAAGACTTACCTCTCGAGAACCCTTAAGTGCAGGTCTACTTGGTCGCATAGGGTTACTATGCATCGGACTTGACATGGGTTTTGATTGACATGAACTTTATCTCTGTAGGCCTGGTGTGGTGTTGCGGGTTAATGCGCTGGACTGCACGATCAGTTTGAACCACAAGGTCAGCAGTTTAAGATCACCAGAGGCTCCTCAGAAACCCTATACAGGGTCAGTATGGGTCGGAACCAACTCAATGGCACTTAATGAGAACAACGACAAATACTTTATACGTGACTGTTAAGGAGCCTTGGTAATGTTGTAGGGTAAGCACTGAACTGCTAACCACAAGGTTGGCAGTTCAAACTCACCAGCCTTGCTCCAGGGAGGAAAGATAAGGCTTTATGCTCCCAAAAAGATTCATGGTCTCGAACCTGCACAGCAGAGGTTGGTAACGTCCAGCCCACAAAACCATTTGGTCTGGCCTTGCCAAGGCAACCGCAGTTGTTGTAGTTGTTGTTGTTAAGTGCCATCTAGTCAGTTCCAACTCTTAGCAATCCTGTATAGGGTTTCTGATCAGCAGCTGGTGAGCTTGAACTGCCGACCTTGCAGTTGAAACCGACCTTACAGTCCAGTGCTTATCCTACAGTGTCACATCACATTGTTGTTGTTGTTAAGTGCCATCGAGTCGGTTCCGACCCATAGCAACCCTGTATAGGGTTTCCAAGGAGCAGCTGGTAAGTTTGAACCACCGACCTTGCAGTTCAAAAGACTTTGCAGTCTGGCGCATATAGCCGGCTATATTTGGCTGTATTTTTAAGTTGATAATTTTGTATGGCCCATGTATGATGGTACAAATTTTGGCAGAAAAAAGGTTCCCCACCCCCGCTCTACAGGGTAAGCATGAGTCAAAACTGACTCTGTAACAGTGGGTTTTGTATGCATGTGATATATATACATATATATTGTTGTGTGCCGTGGAGTCGGTTCCGACTCATAGCGACCCTGCACAGGTTTTCCAAGGCTGTTAATCTTTACGGGAGCAGAAAGCCTCATCTTTCTCCCGCGGAGCAGCTGGTAGTTTCATAACTACCTTGCGGTTCACAGCCCAATTCGTAACCACTACGCTACCAGAGCCATATATATATATATTTTAATGAAAAGGTAACAGGACAAGATGAAAATTAAAGAATTAAGAATCCAGACCCAGCCAAGAAAATGGAGCAGGATGAAATTTAAGTACAGAAAAAGGAACAATGCCTCATTGGTTGGAGCCAGCCTGCTGTTCACGTCTCTCCCACCAGATGGCGAGTTCACACCTTGTTCACACATCCACACTGGCTGTGGATGTGTAGTAGTGCAGTGCTTAAGTGCTCAGCTGTGAACTGAAAGGTTGCTGGTTTGAGCCTACCAGCTACTTCTTGGAAGAAAGATGTGGTCGCCTGCTTCCATAAAGATTGTTGTTGTTATGTGCCGTGGAGTCGGTTTCGATGAACAGTGACCCTGCACAGGGTTTCCGATGCTGTAAATCTTTACGGGAGTAGAAAGTCTCATCTTTCTCCTGCGGAACAAATGGTAGTTTCGAACTGCTGACCTTAAGGTTCACAGCCCGATTCGTAACCACTAAGCTACCGATACCACCATAATATTCCTGTCTCTGACAGGAATAACTAGTGTTAGCAAAGGGCCAGAGAACATAGTTTGATTTTTTTTTTTTTAACCTGAAGGAAAAGCGTTTGAGTGCCCCTAAAGTCGTTTGAACTGCAAGGTCGGTGGTTCAAGTTCACCAGCTGCTCCGTGGAAACCCTATACAGGATCACTATGGGTTGGAATAAACTCTCGATAGCACTGAACAACCACCGGGCCCTACAGCCTGACTCTTAAGTTTGCTGTTGGCAACTGGAGTCTGCTGAATTTCAAAGTGAGGAAAAGGTGTTGGTGGCCCCTTATAATTTCTTTCCAGATTGTAAAGAAAAGGTCAGTGTAAGGTTTACAAATTCAGAAGTGCCTGCTGTCTGCAGGCTTGTTCTCTACCCACAACCAAGATAGCCCAACCAAACACTGTCCAGGTGTCCGGTGTCTGTCTTTGTGTGGGTTAAGGCATTTGCCCTTTTGATTCCTGGTATTTGAGGAACAAGGCGTGTGCATGCCTATACCCTCAAGGAACACAAGGGGACGCTCCAGCATGCTGCCCACTGATGGTGTGGTCTGACCACAAGGTGGTTTCCACCTGGTCCCTCCCAGCCTGGATGGTCTCCACTAAAGTGTGCCTGAGACAGCAGACAAGGAGGCTTGTGTCACGGACAAACATGCCTTTCCCAGCCCCATTTAGAAGCTTGCTTCATACACCTTGATCAAAATGTTATTAATTAGACCACAGATCATTTTCATCTTTAATAGCTGCTGGAAACACACCTGTTCTTTCAAGGATCCACCCCACCTACCTTCAGAAACCCTCTCTCTCCCTGGGACCAAGGCCAGGTTCGGTGTTTGGAAACTCAGTGACTTCAAATAAAAAAGACTAGGTTTCAAAAACGCTTACACACACCTTTCTCCTCCTCTGTCTTTTCCCTATAACTTCTCTGAAGCCCCTTCTTGTATTTATCATGGCAGAAAAGGCTGGTACAGAAAGGGGTTTTACCACAAAACTGCAGAATCTTACAGCAGAAAGGGTGTCCACAGCCAAGTTATCATTGTCTGAATCTTACTGTCATTTTAGTAAGTTCTAAAACTATCCATGGAGAGTTCGCCACAAACAAGAGACTGCCTGCTGCTCGTTCCCCAACCCCCAAGTTGATGTTTTTCCCATGCTCACACAAGAAGTGTCATGGTGCACAAAGCCCCAGACACCAACTCATGGAGATCCACAACTTAACCTTTATGACAAGTTAGCACATGTGACTTTAAGCAAAGACGTGGCTTGAACACCCAAGAATGCCTTGTCCTGCCATGTTGAAGCTCCCAAAGTCCTTTCTCTCTCAGAAACAAAAAGCCACATCTTGAAAGGAAACACACACACACACACACACACACACACACATCCTCCATCCTGGGGGTGGGGGGAGGGGCGCTCTACTACCGGCTGCCTTTCAGCAAGTTCCCTTGGAAATGAGTCTACGGCTGAACGCACTCCAGATCCCAGCGTTGTAGCTGCGGTTTTCTCCCCACCAGGGCTCCACACTTTCAGCTGCCACCCATGAATGGCAGGGCTGTCAGATACCTCTATGTTCCTCAGTTCATCCTCAGTCATCCCGCCTAACAGGAAACAGATTTCTGCAGCAATGAAGTGCCCCTGCTCCTGACCTTTCCAGCTCTGGACTCTCAGGATCTGAAGTCACATCTGCCATGTTGTCTAAAGAATTTGTTGAATCTCTAATCACACTGTCGACACATTTAGGGGCTGCTCCGTGGCACATTTCCTGCTGAAACAACTCTGCTGAAAATGCTGGAGGTTGTCCTCCGATAGCCACCAACTTGTTAATGGCTACCAGACCCTAACAATGTAAGATAACACCTTAGACAATGTTTTATGAGGTGGCAGGTAGAGTGAACTCAAGTTCTGTTGGTGCTGGGCCAGATCAAAAGTGACTTCATGGATTTACGGCAGTTTGCTCCGTCTCCTCTCCATGACTGTACATATATATCTGTGTGTGTGTATGTGTGTATTCTTTTAAGTCCTATTTCTAAGAACGTAATGTTGTTTCAATATGTCAGGGCCCCCCCTCAGAGACATGTTGTAGCAGTTCCAAGTTGAGAATGGCGTTTGAGGAATCTTTTACACGTGCCACTGGCTTTCCCTCCCAGTGTAACCCGGAGCTTCGTATTCCTCTGAAACCGGTTTTCAAGAAAGGAAAAAAAAAGAAAAACAAAAAACAAAAAACGAGTAGAGTGTACACATATTGGGATTGTTTAAACCAAACAAAACCCTTCTTCAACTAGACATTAACATTTATCCCATGACAACATTATTCAAGTCATTAGAGTTTGCACAGTGACTCATATGACTCGATCAGTGGAGCCACCGGCTTCACCGTGTTCACATTCATTCAAATCTGAATAAACAGGGGCAACGTTGGCCTTTAGGGATTTCCCTCCTGTTCATGTGATATCAGGGTTCAGCGGAACGGCAGTGTCTTCGTCTCAAAGCTGCACACGTTAGCATTACAGCAAACATCCACAGGAGGCATTATTTCAACTGAATGTGAATTCTGTCCATCAGGAAGGCAAAGAGAGCTGGGGTCCCCCCGCCAGGCGCACTGCCTACGATGTGAGCTTTGAGTAGCTGGGTGGGGAGAACCGTCTCCGCAGGTATTTAAGGACATACAGGGGGAGGCAGCTGACCAGGGTGATGACGGAGACTTTCCACAGGAAGGATAAGGTAACGATGAAGTACACATCTGCAAACAAAACAGAAGACAGAGGTGAACAGACAACAACGTTCAGGGCGGTGTTCTTCAGTGCCCTCTTCCTCAGGAGACGTCTACCGCCCAGAGCCCAGTTCCTGTCACAAGCACACTGCTCCTGGTATCCACGCCTACCTCCACTCCAAATCTGTAAGGGATCTGCCACGGGTTAATTGCACCTAGCGAGGGCACTGGTGAGTCAGTGACAGAATCGTCCTTTTGCACACGGGAGACCCGGTTTCAATCCCCAGGCAATCCATTTCATACACAGCTATCACCCATCTGTCAGCAGAGGCTCAAGTATTGCTCTGAGGCTGAACATGTTTCAGCACGGCTTACAAATGAGACTACCAAGAAAGAACTGGCAATCTGGTTCTGAAAATCAGCCAGTGGAAACTCCGTGTACAGATGACAACGATCCCATCCCCAAATGACCACGTGAATGGGAGCGGGGTGTAACGACTGTGGTTCATTCCACTGTGCATGGGGCTGCCAAGAGGCGGACTCAAATGACAGCTCACAATGAACGTCGAAACCCTAGAGGTTGTCTCTCTAACCTGCTTCTGGAAGAGCCCTGGTGTTGCAATGCTTAAAGCACTGGGCTGTTAACCAGAAGTTTGCATCCAGCAGTCGCTCCATGGGAGAACGCTGTGGCAGTCTGCTGCCTTAGAAATCCTACAGGGCAGAGTCGCTGGGGGTCAGAATCAACTCAACGGCAACAGGATTTTCTGTTGTTGTTTTAATCTGCTGATAATTAGTGATCTGCTGCTAATTTCAACAATGAGTGAAGCAAAACTAGAGTTTGGGAAAAAAAGGAATTCCTGCAGGTGTTTTAAATTTGGATCCTGGCAGCTGGAGTCTCTATCTGTCCCTAGTTACTGGTGGTTTAGAGCAGCAAGTGACCTGCACCAACACATTCCTACTTCCTAGTAAGTTTCTGCCCTCATCCTGCCGTGCCTGCCACCTCAGGAAGACCAGGATGGACCCATGACGTGGGTCAAAGCAGGCTGACATGTCCTGTGTCACACAGGCTGTCCCTCGGGGGCTGTGAACTCACGTCACCAGCAGCTACCCTTCTCTGTGGCAGCAAGTGTGAACCTGGCACTTAGGAGGTTTTCGGCAGTCCACTTAGAGGATTCTGGAGCCAACATCTTCCCATGTTACAAGCACTGAGGCAGCCATGTCCTCTCTGAGCAAAGCAGGCAGAAGGCCGCTGGCATTCCCTGGGCACTTTCTAAGTGTCCTGCCCAGGGCTCAGCCTACTGAGCAGAGGGTCTCGGTCTCCCCCAACTCTGCGCTATAACTGAGCTATCTGAAACGGCCTCAGCGCCCTCCCCTGAGCTCATAACCGGTGCTCAGCAAACCCATTCTAAGAGATTTTTGAGGCAAATATGAAAGTGTTCTGAAGCTTCACCTTTTACAGGGAAGCTCTTTTTACCTTTACTAGAACCTTCTTTCAAGGCTTTTGAAGTCTCAGCATTTTTTTATTATTACTCCCTAAAGAGTCTTCTTTGGGCATGTTACTGTTGTTAAGTGCCATCAAGTCAGTTCTGACTCAGAGCATCCCAGGATAGGGTTTCTGAGGAGCAGCTGGTGGGTTTGAACTGCCCACACCAGGACATTAGCCCCACCACACCCCATCCTGATGTGGCACTGTGGGTTAATCTGCGGGACTGCAAAATTGGTTTGAACAGTAAGGTTGGCAGTTCAAACTCACCAGCCACTCCTCAGAAACCCTATGCAGGGTCACTGTGCGTCAGAACCAACTGGACAACACTGTGATGGTTGGTGGGAGTTCTGGTGTAGTGCCGTAAGATAAGCACTTGACCTCAAGGTTGGTTTGAACTGAAAGGTCAGCAGTTCAAACTCACCAACCGCTCCTCAGAAACCCTATTCAGGGCTGCTGTGATTCGACGGCACTTAGCAACAACAATGTGAAGGCGGTTGCCTTGGCAGGACCAGATCAAATGATTCTGCGGGCCTTCTATGTCCGGTAGGTCAGATTTTCCCCATCCCTGGGCTGCGAAACTCAAGATTAGATTTGTACAAAATTATCCACAGCACCACGCAGATGGCATTGGGGCATCAAACGGTTCCTGGGGTGATGTTGAGTTAGACAGAGGCTGCTGAGCGGGGACTGGAGCAAGGCCGCCTTACGGGGTCAGCAGCCCACAGGGTCCATCACCCTCTAAGAAGACATGGGGCGGCTTGCTGCAAAGGATCCCCAAGTGTAGACACATGTGCCACAGACCGGCCCAGGCAGACCACGTCAGTGGCTGGTGTCTTACCTATGAATTCGTGTAGGAAAACCAGGGAGGCGATGTAGGAGGCCAGGCTGAGTAGCTCGGCCACTGTCATGAGCCAATGCCAGGTCTGGATGGTCAAGGCCACCATCAGCAGTTCAGTGAGGATCAGCGACGTGAAGGAGATGGCCACGATGTGCACAAACTCCGACTCAAAGAGTAGCAGTGCCCCATACATGATGGTGCTCCCTGGAAGCCCAGAGACAAGGTCAGGCGGGCCGTGGGAGCTGGCGTTTGGTTCGGCTTTGCAGGGTAGACACGACAGGTAGACATGACAGACAGCATACTACAGCTTTCCTGTTTTCCCTTTGACCTCTGCTAAGGATTGACTGGTGGCCCCCAAGAGAATCTGTTGTATTCCTAACCCCTATGCCTCACTGAAGAGTCAATGGGTCCTCATCTTGTCTTTGTAAAAGAGAAGGAGAGACCCAGACAGGGACACAAAGGAAGGACACCATGTGCGGCTGCAGCATCAAGCTAAGGGATGCCTGGAGCTAGCCGTAACTAAGAGAGGGGCAGGGAGTCGTTTCTCCTTCAAAGCCCCAAGAAGGAATTGGCAGAGCTGATACCGATTTGGACTTCTAGCCCCCTGGAGCTGTGAGACACTATGTCTCTGTTTTCAAGTCCCCCACTCTGTGGTATTTTGTCATATAAGACGATTTGATGTAATAAATAAACTATGACTGGAGAGAACAAAGAGAGGCAGACAGAAAATGTAGCTGGAGTTGATGGTACAGGAACGAGAGTATGATGTATACTGTTTAATATGATAAAGGTAACCTCGAGGAAGGGAAGGGGGAGTGCAAGTGACTGTCAGTCGATCCTACTGGGTTTTGCTGTGCATTATTTGGGGCATTTCCCTTTGGCACCAGCTCACATATCTGAGGCTGCCTGTGTTTACCATGCACTCCTTATAATAGGACATATTCGCTACAGCGATTTTAGGATTCCAGCTTCTTCACTTCATGCCCAACAGACAAGAAAGAATACCCTTGGGCCAGCAGCAAGCACAAGGAAAGCTTGGACGCTTCATCCTTCTTACCTTGGTAGATGCTAATCAACACCCATATCAAGAAGGTCTTGTAGGAGAGCGGCCGTCCCTACGTGAGAGACAGGGGAAGAGCAGAGCAAGTTAGTGCCTGTGGTTCACCCAGGAGGCCTTCAAGTCACTCTTCCCCCATCTAGAGAGGCCAACCTGCCCGCTGTCCTCAAAAAAGTAACAAATTCAATTGTAAGTAGTTTATAAACACAAGAATGTATGAGAGAAAGCACGCTTTGAAGAAAATTGGTATTAGATGGGAAGAACCTGCCCTTTAGTAAGAACCCTTTGAAGACATAAAATGAAACTATACGCACACATACTACTCTCTCACACACACAAATCACCCGCCACCACAAAGCACATTTCCAGCTGCAGCTGCATTATGGGGACTGCAGGGGGGCTGTGTCAAAAGTTGGATATTCACTTTACACATGACTATGCTGTGTAACAGAGTATAAACCCTCACTCATTCCCCCCAAAGCAAGAAAGTCTTGAGTGTCAAGTGTGGTGAAATCCAATATGGAGGGTTTGTGTGAAATAAATGTCAAAAAGAGAGAAGGAAGCAGGAGAGAGGAGAGGGGAGGGGGAGTGGCAGACTGACCTTGAGGAGATCTTTGTAAAGCTCAGGATAAAGCATGGCGACTTCGGACTTGACGTCTTTGTCCAGGACCAGAGAGAACACAGGAAACATGGTGTAAATCGTGGAGTATCTGGAAGAAGAAACTACCCAGGTAAGAGCCAGCCAACGTTCTGGAGCCCAATTTCCATTAATTTGTTCACACTCACTGACTCACTGACTCACTGACTCACTGACTCACTGACTCACTGACTCCTCATTCACTCACTCCTCACTCACTCACTCACTCACTCACTCCTCATTCACTCACTCCTCACTCACTCATTCACTCACTCATTCACTCACTCCTCACTCACTCACTCCTCATTCACTCACTCCTCACTCATTCACTCACTCCTCACTCATTCACTCACTCCTCACTCACTCAGAGATTCAAGATGATAACCAGACAAAAACATCTGCCCTCAGAGAGCGCCAAGACACAAGTAAATTAAGGAATCTACATCATGTTAGCAGTACATGCTGAGGAGGAAACCTACTGGAAGAGTGGAAGTAAAATGTGGAGAGGGGGTGTGTGCAATTTCAGAGAGACTGGCCAAGGAGATCCTACTGCAGGGACCTTTGCACGAGGTGAGGGTTGAGTCTGACTAGTACCTGGGAACAGAGCATCTCAGGCAGAGGGAAAGGCCGGTGCAAAGGCCTGGAGGTTTCTGGCATGTCTGGAGAACAGTGAGGAGGCCAGCGTGGCTGACCCAAGGGGTGAGGGTGAGACAGGAGAGATGAGGACAGAAAAGCAAGGGTCCTTTTAGTTCCCCAGAACCTGCCCAAGAGTACAGTCCATTTCCCCAGGAGGAAGCGGAATCCCAACACCCACTCTCAAAAGAAGCCAACAGGCCAAACATGGGAAGATGGGCAGCCCACTTTGTAAGACCCCACCCCCACCCCAGGCCAGCCTGCCTTTCTGCTCTCTGTCTCTTCCTCCCCAAGAACCGGCCCCTGTGGGCATCTCTACAGGACAGCTGGTAACACATCTCTCTTTGGGGTACTCTCTGAAAGGTCACAAGGAACACCATGAAGTTCCAGGTCTGATAGTTACATGTCTCTAACTGGCCAGTGGCATGCAGGGTCAATCGCTATGACACATGCACACACACACAAACACACCCGACCCACACACCCCCTGAGAGCCGGGCTGTGGCTCTCCTGAGAGATCCAAGAGCCACAAGTTCTGCTGGAGTCAGATCCCCCCTTCCACGGATCCTTCACCAAAGACCCCAGTGAAATTGTGGAGCCTGCAAACCTCCACTCTTCTGTCAATCAGTCGACACCCCCAAACTCTAATGGGCAAAGTGTTTCATGGCCGGCACAGACACAGAGAGCTGCGGACCACAGACCTGGCTTCCTCCACCAGGCAAGCGCTTCAGACTTCAGGAGTCACATTCAAGGGCAATCTAATGGCACAGCAGGGGCTGCCTGGGCCCTGGAGTCCAAGGCAATGAGAGGGCTGATGAGTTTACCCAATGTGCCTTTCCTCTTCTGTGGTAAAGTCAGGTTCCTATTAAACAAATCCCTTGCCAGATCTCCTTACCCAATGATGAGGAATCCTTGGTAGAGGGGAACAGAGGCAAAGTAGAACACAGAGGAGAAGACAGCCTGTGTCAGAAGAAAGATAGATGTCACCGATGATCCTCACCAACAGCCATGTTTTGTTTCCCATGACCAAAACATTACCTACCGGAGCACGTCCTGTAAGCCCAGCACTGTTACAAAAACTTTGTGTAGCCACTTACTGCTTTCTTATAACAACATTATAAAGTAGGTACTGTAGGCAACATCCCCCTTTTACAGATGAGGAAAGTGAGGCACAGAGAAGTGACTTGTCCAGGGTCACACAGCTTCTAAGCACTGGAGCCAGGATTCAAACCAAAGAAGCTGACCTCTAGAGTCCACTGCCACTCAACCCCTTTGTGGACATTTATTAACCTCCAACTGCTGGACACAGGTGCTTTGCGTGTGATCTCAGTGGGTCTCAATGCACAACAGAGTCCTAATATCACCAGACTGTTACAGAAGGGTGAGCTGAGAGGGAGCCTAACTCATCTCCAAAACCCACACTCCCACCTGCTCAGAATTGCCACCTCCCCAGGTGCGCAGGACTGCGTGTGGGTGATGTAAATCTGGAAGCAGCTCCTCCTGAGTTTTTACACCAATTGGGTGTGTGTGTGTGGGGGGGGGGTTTAAGGACTGCAGAATCAAGCCACTTCTTTTCGTACATGTCCTGGTACTTTTAGAAATTTTATAGATAGTCCATTACATGTTATGTTTGCAATTAGGAGCAATAAAGAGAGTTACGAACTCTTACTGAAATCTGTCTGCTTCCTGATTTGAAAAATATTAGCTACTGGCAGTGAAACAGGAGCTCGGGAGGCCAAAATATTAGTTACTGAGACAGAAGCCCTAGAGATAAAATCCGGCTCCCTGCTCTCGCTAACCCCTTCTCTGGATGTCAACAGGCAAACGGAAGAAAGGTGGTCTGCAAAGCTAATTCTTATTAGGATAAAACCAAAGGGAGGCCAGGGACAGCCACTGCCCCAAGCCTTTCTTCAAATTAAACACGGAAAGGCTGTGCGTTTCTCAGTGATTAGAACCAGCTTCTCCCGGGAGAGGTCTCCCCTCCCACCAACTATGGACAAGAGCGCAGGTACCGCGGAGGGGTGCCCTCCCATCAGCCCCCGGCTGTGATGTCAGGACCAGAGCATCAGGAAAAGCGCCTTCTGACTGACTCCACCCTGGGCTGGGTGGACACACAGGCAGCCTTACTGATGCCAACACTGCATGGCTCAGGGATGTGTTGTGCAAATCACTTCAGGAACCTCTTTCCTTGATCATCATGCTTTGTCTTACAAAGTAGCACCAGGACCATGAAAATGCCTTAGTGGTGTCTGTCTATAGAAGCCCCGGTAGCACCATGGGTTAAGTGTTGGGCTGTTTGTTCACCAAAAGGTCAGTGGTTCAAACCCATCAGCCACTCCTCAGGAGAGAGAGATGATAAACCAATTCCATAAAGATTTACAGCCTCGGAAGCCCCACGGTGCACTCCACTCTGTCCTAGAGGGGTGCTGTGCATCACAACGGATTAGATGACAGTGGATAGTGGTTGTGTCTTTCAAAGACACCAGTCAGTACCTGGGACAGTGAGAGGCTGAACCACTTTCAGCACAGCGGACAGGGGCTAGAGCCAAAGAACCCACCATTCCACATCCTGGAGCTTTCTTATTAAAACTCCAAGGTCTTGGTAACATGCGGACACTGTGGATGTTAGTGCCTCGACCAGTGACCAGCTGATTCATCTCCCCATGATACAAAGCCCAGTGTCCTCTAACTCCATTGATGAGTTAACATAAATTAAAGCCCAGTAGTGGCCACAGAAACCACACCAGCTGTTTGGGTTTACATCATGTTGATGAAAATCATGTGACGGGCTCCTCTGCCCCCAAACACGTAACCCACAGAACCTCTCCTAAAAGGCCTGTGGAGTTGGGGAGGTTGGATTTGCTTGGGTCCCCAACAGAATCACCTAGCTCCTGGGGCAAGGCCTTCCCTATGTGATTAAGCACCTCCCCCACAAATTACGATGGTACCTTCCGCTGCTTTGGTGGTGAAAAGGATGCCTTTGGTTGGCCAGGTCCCTGATCACATTCATGGTCTGATCCTCACAGCAGACACTGACTGAGTAGGCAGGCTGCATCATCCCTCTTCTACAGGGGGGAAGACTGAGGCCCAGAGCAGGAAAGTGACTTGCCCAAGGTCTCATTGCTACATAGTGGCGTGATTCGGCAGAGACATGTCTCCTGTATTTTCCCACTTAGCTGCTACTATTACTTCCACGCCCAAAAAGGAAGAATAACCTATAGCTTTCCAACACCCACCGTATCTTCTTCCCCTCCCTCTGACCACCTTCTTGCAGTACTTACTCAATGACTCCGGTCTAAGAACAGATTTTGAAGGGGTCAGAAAGAGGGAAGGTGTGAAAATACCATCTACCCTTTAGATCCCTTTGTGGAAAACATGGTAGCAAGATGCTAATCCCCAAGTGGATGAACCATCAGGATAACCAGTGGCAGAGCTGGGATGCAGAGACGAGCTACCTAGCATCTGCTGCACAGAGAAGCCCTCTAAGAGCTACCCAGCCCCTCTGTGGGTATTAAGGAGTGGGCCTGGATGAATAGGTTTGGGGTCCTCCTGCCTGGGTGGAGCCAGTCCCATTTCTCAACCACACTGGGACTCCACCAGCACATCTGTAAAGTGGGGCTAACAACTGTGCCTGCTGGCTCGGGCTACTGTTAGGACCCCATGAGACACTTTCTGGTGAACACTTAGCCCAATGCCAAGGGCAGTGAGAGTGCTCAACTAACTTCTCTTCTGGTTGTTCTCTGCTGGTTCTTGCCTTGGCACATGGAAAAATGAGGGCATTTAGGTCTGTGTCTTTCATGCTGGCCAATGAGTGGACTCGCCCCAAGAGAACAACACTGTCACGGATATTACACCTACTGGATGCTGAGCCTGGACGGGCACCACTAAAGCTTTCAGCCACGCCACAGACAGGAATGTTTAGCATCACTGAACAGAAGGGTACCTGGGGCACTGCACCACTATGTGACTTGCCCAAGGTCTCTATCAGCTAGAGAGTGCCGGAGGGATTTACACCAGGTGGATGGGAACAGCAGCTCCAGAGTACAGTCTGATTCCCAGGCTCCTTCCATGATAGTGACACAGCCATGAATCCCTGCGTATGGGTGCCGGCTTCCACCCACCTGCAGGGTGCAGCCCTGAGTCCTGGGTATGTATGAGTGCTGGCTTCCACCCACCTGCAGGGTGCAGCCCTGAGTCCTGGGTATATATGGGTGCCGGCTGCCACCCACCTGCATGGTGCTGATACACAGGCTCCTGTGAATCACGAACTGGCTGAGGGCCGCTGAACGCTTGTAGCTGTTCCGGCCATGCACCATAAGCAACCGGCCAAGATGCTTAAACTGAGTGATGGAGAAATCCGCAGCCAGAGAAGCCTGTTTTCCTTCCTGGAATCCAATGAAATTGGGCACCGTCAGAGGTACACGGGGTCAGGGCACACGTTTTTTTCTAATTAAAAAAGCAAGATGTTGTAAGGAGTACCTTTGAAGAGTTTGAGTAAAGAGATTCTTGGGTTTCAAGCTCTAGGAGGTTGGTGGTCCAACTTTAAATTTGATTTAGAAAAGAGGAACTCACTTAAATAAAAAACATTCTGATTCTCCAGAGAGTTAAAATTTACAGGTCAAGTGGATCTAATAGTAAACCATAGGGGTCAGGCCCAGCCCTACCAGTATCAGAAATGATGATCTCTTAATCATCAGAGAGAAGACAGAAGACGGGGAAGCTGTGGCTACAGTGAAGTGTTATTAACACTAACTAGAACACTTATGGACACACAGCTTTGCACACTTGCTCATGCATATGTGAAGGGGATATGCAGAAATGTGGGATTAAATCACAGCACAGCCACCAGATGGGATTTTCTGACTCTAAAACTTGCATGGCAACTTGTCTGACATCATGTGACACCAAGGCCTCCTGATGTGACATAATGGGATGGACACAAAACATCAGTCATGTAAAAGAAAACATTCTCCCCAAAAATGCAGAAAATAAAAACACGCTCCCCTCCCCACAAAAATGTTCTGCAATGAAGATTATAGATAGCAACATGAAAATAAATATAATTTGTGATCGTTGATGGTTGTTGTTGTTGTTAAGTGTCTTTGATTTGTTGGTTAAGTTAGAGCTTTGATCACAACCTGAATATTAAATTTAAAAAATATTAAATGTTAACATTACTTAATATTAAAACGGAGGCTTGGTGTGGCGCTATGGGTTAATGCGCTGAACTGCAAAGTCGGTTTGAACTTGAAGGCAGGCAGTTCAAGTTCACCAGCCGCTCCTCGGAGACCCTACACAGGGTCGCTATGAGTCAGAACCAACTCCACAGCACTTAACAACAACAACACTAAAAATATTAACTAAAGATGAGAACCATAAAGACATTCTGAGGACCATTAGGGAAATCTAACCGTGACTATTAGCTATTATTATTAAATCAGTTACATTTGGGGGAGGGGTGGAATGGTATTTTTTTGCACATGTAGGAAGAGGACGTCCTTGTTCTTAGGAAATCCATTTTGAAGTATTCAGGAGGAAAGTATTTATTATGTCTACAACTTTCTTTTGGCTGACTCAGGAAAAAAAACGGACACAGGTGTGTGCCTGTATATAAATAAAGAGAGATGAGGGAGCCAAAGGTAGCCAAACTTTAACAATGGCCAAATCAAATGACGAGTGGAAGATTACTCAAATGTTCTGTTTCGACTTCTTGATGGACTGACAACTTTGCCTAAATAAAAACTTAAGAAGTAAGCGAGAGTGTAAAAAACGATGGCTCTGCTTGTTCCAATGTGGGAAAAAAAATACACAATACTCTTAAACACACGAAAGAACAAAATACATAGTATAATGATTTTCATTTTAAGTTACACTATATGAGGGGGCCTTCAAAAAGCTTGTGGGAAAATGGAATTTTTCCACAAACTCATTGAAGCCCCCTTGTATATACACATGCAAAATTACATATACAAGGGGGCTTCAAAGAATTTCTGGAAAAATTCCATTATTTATTAATTCTATTTTTTCCTAAAACTTTTTGAAGTTCTCTCACATATACACATTATATGTATGTTGTTACTCAGTGCTGTCGAGTTGGTTCCAAGGAGTGGCTGCTGGGTCTGAGCTGCTGACCTTTGGTTAGCAGTCCAGTGCTTATCCTACAGCACTATACTGGGACGCCATTTTGTACATATATTAAAAATAAATAAAACAAATACATACACACTACAGGGTTTCTGTGTCTCAGAAATGACTCCACAGCACGTAACAACAAAACTGATAATGTATGCATAGAGAAAATTCTGGAAGAACAGCCTATGTTACCACGTTGAATACAGCTCTCTATAGCCTGCACTCTACCCTTCTGTTTACAATTTTTACAAGGAGCACTTAAGCAATAATCAAAGGCGTTTAGAAGAGGAAACGTTTTCATTCTGTGGAGAAACTGGCAGAGTTCTGCCCAACTCCAGCACTTTGCTTAAAACCTACATTAAGGGCATCGACGTGGATTTCAGACTCCTGGTGTGGCAACGTAGGATAAGTTGTGGACTGTGAACCACAAGACCGGCAGTTCAAACCCACCATCTGCTTCTCAGAAACCCTAGAGTCAGAACCAACTAAACAGCACTTAACAACAAAAGCGAAATGTAGATTTCAGATTCAACACCTCCCTCGAGGTTCATGTTGTTGTTGTTATGTGCCTTTGAGTCGATTCCGACCCATAGCGACCCTGCATAGGGTTTCTCAGGTTTCTTTATGGGACCCGAAAGCCTCATCTTTCTTCCATGGAACAGCTGGTAGTTTCAAACTGCTGACCCTGAGGTTAGCAGCCCAATTTGTAACCACTACACAACCAGAGCTCCTTGAGGTTCACGGAGCTCAGCAATTCCAAATCACTACCCCTAGTTCAAAACCAAAGAACCAGAAAGTGTAGAAAAAGAGCAAATGCCCTATGGATTCACCAAATCGTGAGGATGTGCACCTGAAACAGCAACCCTCACCTGGGGCTCCTCTTGCAAATTTTAGGTCACAAATTAGAGCAGGCAGAGGACACCTGGTGGTACGGTGGTTAGGCGCTTGGCTTTTTTAACCCAGCCAGCAGCTCTGAGTGGGAAACACCTGGCAATGTGCTTCTGTAGCAATCACAGCCTAGAAACCCCGAGGGGTAGTTCAGCACTGTCACATGGGGTCAGCAGCTAATGAGAGCAACAAATTTGGACTAGGAGCTTCATGCGCATGAAAAACAACAACAAACACAACTTCAGGCAGGGGAAATGTGATAAAGGACCAGCACAGAGTTGATGATGGGGCAGGGCCAGTAGGAAACACACACACATCTGTAAAATTACAGCTGCAGAAGGCTTTTTTGGTGAGAGAGTTTTCATAGGGTCACGATGAGTCGGAAATGGCTCTATGGCACTTAACAACAGCGGTGCTGACTCCTATGGAAATGTGGAAAGTACATTCTCTGTAGCCTAAGAATACAGGAAAATTATTTTGTTAAAAAAAAAAAAAAAAAAATGAAGGTGCTGGCAAGCGAAAAGTCAGGATTTGTCTTTCTGAGTTACTGACAGGAATCCAAACATCCAGGGGACACGTGGTTCTTTAGCCGTATGTTTTGTTTCCTCTTATCTAGAAATTCCAGAAGTATCTGAGCTGTGTCTCTGAAGCAAAGAGAACACAGGTAGAGATGCTTCCACAAGTGGACAAGCAGTATTCAGGGAACTACCATGCCACGACACGGAGGCCCACCTCATACACTCACCTTTCCTTCGACCCCGACACCACAGTCGGATTCCTGAATCATACTGACATCGTTGCCCCCATCCCCTGCGGATCAGACCAGAGAGAAAATGAGGGAAGGCCCACATCAGGGCTTTAAACTGCTTCAAAATGAAGTTATGGGCAAAGTACCCAAATGTCTTGTGGGATTCAGACCCAGGGAGGTCGAGATCAGCTCAAAGGTGGTTGGTAGATCATGAGTGCTGTCTGTTTCCTTCTGGGTCAAAAGCCCCGACAAGAAATGTGGTTGTTATGTAACACGTAAGTTGTCTTTGTTTCTGTGGAACATGAATGAACCATTTTGAACCAATTCAAAGCCCTCCAAGAAACACACCTCCCTAGTGTCATTCTTCCTTTCAATAATACTATCATTTTTGCCTACTATGGAAATATGTAAGGAGTCCTGGCAGCGGCAGAGGAGGGGCCTGAACCTGTCTATCTGTTCTTTCTGTCTCCAGGGGAAAGAGTAACAACATCACAGGCAGCACCAAAGTCTTTGGGGATAAGGGGAGGGGGTGGGATTCACAGCTTGAATAAAGTGATCCAGGCAATTTACAGAAGCTCAGAATGCAACTAACCTGATGGAAAGTCGTACAGGTCACCAGCATGTCAGGGCCAGCATGAAGGGCCCTCCCCTGTACCTACCTACTGCACAGGTGAGCGTTCCAGACCCCTCTCCCACCTACTACTGCACAGGTGACCATCCCAGACCCCTCCCCCACCTACCTACTGCACAGGTGACTGTCCCAGACCCCTCCCCCACCTACCTACTGCACAGATGACCGTCTCAGACCCCCTCCCCCACTTACCTACTGCACAGGTGAGCGTCCCAGACCCCTCCCCCACCTACCTACTGCACAGGTGAGCTTCCCAGACCCCCCTCCCCCCACCTACCTACTGCACAGGTGAGCTTCCCAGACCCCTCTCCCACCTACCTACTGCACAGGTGAGCTTCCCAGACCGCCCTCCCCCCACCTACCTACTGCACAGGTGAGCTTCCCAGACCGCCCTCCCCCCACCTACCTACTGCACAGGTGAGCTTCCCAGACTCCCATCCCCCCACCTACCTACTGCACAGGTAAGCTTCCCAGTGCGTTCCTGGAGCAGGCGCACAATCTGTGCCTTCTGGGTGGGCGCACAACGGCAGCAGACCACGGCGGGGCACTGGCAGGCCAGTTCCATGAACTCATACTCGTAGTACTTGAGGCAAACCTGGTGGCGAGGGCGGAGGAGAGGCAGTGGGTCAGGCCAGGGCAGACCCCAGTACACAGCCCCTGGCATGCAGGGTCCAGCCTTGGGGGTCCTGGCGCCCACCTCCAGGGAGTCTCCGGAGATCACCAGGGCACAATCATGCTTCCTGCGGAAGGCGTTCAGCTCCAGGTGGGCCTCCCCACGGTTGGTCACCTGGACAGGAACAGAGACATAATCAAACAACCTGCCTCCCAATGGAACTGCATTTATAAGAGGAGGGAGGTGACCCCAGGGCTAAGTTTGACAAGTCTTAAATTCTAGCTCATTTTGCTGTGACACAACACCGTGCTGGATTTCCTGGCACTTCCATGGGTATGGGTCAAAGGCAGGAGTTAAGAGGAGACCCTGGAGATATCTAAGTCCCTCCAGGTGCTCTGACTTCAGTGGGATTGTCACACCCTGAATAAGAGGGGGACTCGGTGCTCCTCCTCCCTTACTCAGCAGTCATTTGGAGGCCTTGCTGGTTCCAACCTCAGAGGATCTTGTAAAGCACCAAGTTTAGTCAAGCTCTTGCTTACCACCAAGGCAGAAAACAATTCATCTGCACATCCCATTTGCCTTCTGCAATAGACTCCGCCAAGCTCACTACCACCGAGTTGGTTCTGACCCATAGCGACCCTGAACAGGCTTTCTCCTGCACAGCAGCTGCTGGGTTTGAACAGCTGACCTTGCAGTTAGCAGTCCAGTGCTTATCCCACAGTTCCACCAGATTCTTAGCTAGCTTCTCGCTTGGGGAAGGTAGGCTGCTAGTATCTGGGGTCTGGGATTCGGTGAAAGGCCAGGAATCCTGCCCACAATCTCAGGGGTCTGAGTTTATCTACATCTTTCAGCGGGGTGGTCCCTAATTCTCCTCGGCTTTCCAGGATTTCTTCCGCAAAGGTTGGGAACATTAACACGGGGGCGGAAGCGGCTGGATAGCACTTACCAACAACAACTAAGTAAATCAAGGCAGTTGTCCTCTCGTGGGTTCTGACAGTGACCCCACACGTGTCATGGTAGAGCTGCGCTCCATAGGGTTTTCAATGGCGGGGAATGTTCACAAGGAGGTCACCAGCCAACCTTCCAGGGTACCTCTGATTAGATTCATACCATCCAGGGATGCCATAGGTGCTCCAAACCACTCACAGAACAGTGTTCAGCTTCGCTTGAGCCTTTCAGTTATCTCACCAAGACAAAGATGCCATACACGCCCCCAACCCTAGACTGCTAGGGTTCTGCCCCCCGACCTGCCTCCCCTGCCTGAGGCTCTGAGGTTACAGGAAAACCTTCAATCCCATTAGAGGGCACTGTACCAGTCGAAAAATGTGGATGTCTTGGTTTCTGGTCACCAGATGTGCGTTCTTAGCTGTGCATGTCGCTGTCTCCAGCTTGTCCCCTGTCAGCATCCAAACCTGAAATTACAGCATGAAAGAGGTCCTGTTTGTTCGGGTTTGAGGAGACTGCGTCAGCTAAGTTTCCAAGAACACAGAGCTGAACTCAGTATGACCTATGAACCTCCTCAAGGACCACAGTGTTCTCAACACACCACAGGACACACCCTGGTTCCAGAACTTCGGGACCACGAGCTCCCCATGCTGGGGGCAGCCAGAGTTGAGGCAACAATTCCACAAAGCCATTTGGTGGGCGCTTTGGGAGCCTTGGACCTTGCTATGCTGCTTCTAAGGAGTTTTCTGAAAGCAATGAATAATCCAAAGAAGGGAAGAGCTGTGTGCAAGAGGGAGTCACACCACCGACCTACAGGAAACGGTCCTTTCTCTGTGGTCAGATGCTCAGGTGGTCTGAAACCACCTAAATGCACCTGTTTCTTCTCTCAGATCATTTCATATTTCACCACTCTGGGCTCAAAGAGGGTCAGGGACTTGCCCCAAAGCCACACAGCTAGTCCTTGTCTGACCAGCATTGGCATGGAGCCCTGTCCTACTCTGCTACTTTATCAGCGAGCTCGTTTGTCCCCGGCCCCCGACAGGGTGAACTCTGGCAGAATCTGGACAAAGGACATCTCGTCAGCGGAGGGAACCAGGAAAGGGAACAAATAGTGTTTCCTGACACCCGTCGAATGCTGCCCACCTTCAGATGTCTTTAGGCTTCCTGCTGACTTTATGAGGCGGGAAACTAGGGTCAGAGACAGAGCAAATGAGGCAGGGTTCGAACCTGGGCAGGAGAACACCCAGGATGAAGGCGCTGGGTAACCTGGTCAGGTAAGCAACCCAGGTCTCACCTACTCAGGGTTTGCTCCTGGTGTGTATCTGAGTCTTCCCTCAATGTCCCATCTGACCTTAGAAAATACGATTCTTTTAAACAACCTGTTTAATCAGTAATTTTCTGAGATGGATGTAAGAAAAGAGATGGGAGAAGCAAGTTCTAGAAAACATGAAGCAAGCTCTCAGGTTACCTCATGTCCCATGTTGGGACAACAGGAACGAGTGCCCAGGTGTTCATAGGCACACCCAGGTAAGTGCCCAAGACCTTAAGTCCCAGCCCCAGCATGGCCACTTCCCAGAGGGCAAACCTGAGTGTGTGTGTGTGTGTGTGTGTGTGTGCGTGTGTGAAGCTGCCTCTTTGAGCCTCAGTTGCCACCTCTGTAAAAGAAGCTAGAGAAGAAAACTTCCGATTTCTAACACCTTCTGAGTCTGTGAAAGATCATACCTTAGACCCTCATTACAAACCAACCTGCCCCCATGCAGCTCACACCTATGATGATGAGGGGCCAGAGAGAGCAGTCAGGTCCACATGACAGGAATAAAATAGGGTGAAAAAAACCCCAGACAAAGCTTGTTGTTGTTGTTGTTGTTAAGTGCCGTGGAGTCGGTTCCGACCCATAGCAACCCTGTATAGTGTTTCCGAGGCTGTAAATCTTTACAGGAACAGAAAGCCTCATCTTTCTCCCGCGGAGCAGCTGGTAGTTTCAAACTGTTGACCTTGCAGTTCGCAGCTCGATTCGTAACCACTAAAGCTAGAAGCCAACAATTCAATCTCCAAACCTCCAAGAGGAAAAGTCTGAGAAACTGCCCGAGACACACTTTAGACACCAAAACGCAGCAGGAATGGGCTCTCTCTCCACCAGACTGCTCTACCCAAACGAGAAGATCCTTGTAAACATTTCTCTGTAAGGAAGGAGCAGAAGCAACGTAACAGAATGTGGTTTCGCAGGGCACCATGGGATTACTGCAGGCTCAGTCCACCCTGCAGGCCCCGGGACACAGCCAAGAGCTGTTTCAGGATGGAAGCAAGTAGCAGGTATGCATGTGTTCAGGAGCGTCCAGCCAATGAGTTATGAATGAACTTTTATTAAGAAATAGAGTCTGCCAATGTTTCCGCTGGGGTCCATTAAAATACAGCCTGACCTCTGGCGCCCTCTGCTGGCCTCTGATTAAACCACTGGATTACAGTTTGGTGGTGGTGGTGGTGAGAAAAGTCAATTATCTTCCACTTTTTGAAAGCTCACTCTATGCCACACTCCACTTTTACCAAAGGTCTAAATTAGGTCCTGTTCTTGTAACTCAAAAGAAATACAAAGAGGATTTTCACTTCTATTAAAAAAAGGTCAGTACGCACACCAATGTTGATAGCAGCAGAAGACGTATGCACACCAAAGTTTATAGCAGCACTATTTACCATAGCAAAAAGGTGGAGACAGCCAAAGTGCCCATCAACTGAAGAATGGATAAACAAATTGTGGTA